CCAGACTTTATGAAGTTATTATCACCCCGGATTAACTCTAGAGGGAATATGGCCTAGATTCAATGTCCGCCGGAACTTATATTCGAGTAGGATTTCATTGATTTCCAATGAAACGACAAACAAAATATGTTATTTAAAATGTTTAAATTATAATCAGGTAACAAGATCGAAATGTTTTAAAGGATTGCCCAATGCTATTTGTTTTGCAATTTTAGAAGCATAAATGTTAATTAAATTTAAATAATTTAGTTGTTTAATCATATCTTTTTCAATTGATAACATAGTCAATTGGTTCAATCTTTAGTTCCTTCTTAGATAAGGAGTAGGATGGGATCAATTCCCGGAAAAAGTGATCCTATGGACCTAGACGCGAATTCCATTAATCTCCATTAAAACGATAAACAAAACATCTTATTCAAAATATTTTTATTATAATCGGATGACAGGATTGAAATTTTTTTAAAAGACCACCTAATGCTATTTGTTTTGCAATTTTAGAAGTAAAAATATTAATCAAATTTGAATAAACTAGTTGTTCAATCACATCTCTCTCAATCAATTCAATCTTTTTTTGTAACGTAGTTAATTGGAGATTAGTCTTGATCAACTTCAATTTAGATAAATTTCTATCTATACATACAATTATAATAAGTATAAAAAAAAAATTATAAGCAATATATGCATTTGGGAAGCTACCAACTTGTGTCTTTAAATATTGTAACACATAAATTTTGAATATTTTGGACAATAAATCTTGAAAATATATGACATTTGAATATGTTGAATTTTTGAAGGGGTAGAGCGAATTTTGAATTGGTTGTTGTAAAAAATCTCTAGCTTGATGGGTGAAATAAAAAGTTTTAGTTAGTCAAATATCAAATTTTATAGATATCTAGCGAGTTAGTAAGTCGAATCTTGAGTTTGCTCGACAAAGTCAAATATGTTGGATAAATCTCGAGTTTGCTACGTTGTTTAACTTCAAAAATGCTAAATTTCAAGGTTAACTTCAAATATGTTGTGTGTGTATAAATATACACACATACACACACTTTTGCCCATTCGCATAATTATTATGATCTTAAGGATTAATGTTCCATAATAGGAACAATAATGAAAGCACTAAGAGCATACAAAATTTAAATTATTACAAAAAAATAAATAAATAAATAAAAACACCATAAACATATGCCAAAAAAATACTTATAGCATTGAGCCTTCTCACCAATCATGACTAAAAATAGGTACTCACGACAGTGGCTTAAGAGAAAATCTTTAGGAGGATGGTCGCACCATATGGACGGTCGTGATCTGACTTTGACGGACAACTTCAACTTAAATCTTTAGTGAATCACTTTTTGAGAAGCAGAGTAAACAGTAGATACTAGAGACAGTTTTCGAGATTTTGGGACTCGGATTGATTGAATTTGGAAGAACCTTTCAATATTATTGTATTTTTATTTTTGACTACCAGTCTATGATTTTGGATTGGTTAAATTGTGTCTTCAAAAATGGGGTCAAAATATTAAACGGACTAATTCAGAAAAAAAATAAAAAAAATAAAAAAATACCAAAATTTATGTCCCTTTGATATTGGTCCTAAGACGGGCCCCATTTACGACTTCAATAGGATTTCTCCTTTCTTAAAAATTCAATTTTATATATTGTTTCACAAAATAATTTTACCTGTAAATTTAAAATTTTTCTTTATTTTTTTATCACACATTTTTTAAAAATGCTATTTCAAAATACATTTTCATTTTAAAAATGAGGCTCAAATAAGTTCTTATTCGACCCCATAGAAAGATATTTGTACGAGCGTAAAACGATTACGAATTTTGTTTTTAAGATATTTGTCTATTATGAATAAATCATGTTTCATATATTAATTCAAATGATGAGTCTTAAGTCCACACTACCCTGTTTGGCCCCCATTTTATCGAAAAATTAATGGATAAAATACTGTTTTTTTGAAAAATGAGTGATTGAAAAAGAAGGAAAAGTTTTCGATTTACGTTGAATATTATTTTTACCCCGTTTGGTACTTTTTTTTTTCAAAATGCATTTTTCTCTTTTCTTTTCAACCACACATTCTTTATTAAAATAATATTACACGTAAATAAAAAACTTTTCCTTATTTTTCAACCACACATTTCCCATCAATTTACTATTCAAAAATGCATTTTTACATAAAAATGTATATCAAACACCCCCTTTGTAAAAGATTGTGTAGTTAAAAATAGGAGAGAAAATGAAATGTAATGTAACGAAAATTAATGGGGATCAAATGGGTAATTGAACAACTTGAAGTTTGACTCATCAACTCATCTTTGACTTTAATTATAATTGGGACCTTTCATTCCATAATTCGACCTTCTAAGAATGGAACGAACAAGATATTTGTGTTTTATAATTGAATTTAAATGATGGTCCTGAGTCCACCATATATGAACACCTTCAAGTTTGACTCAATTATCGTCTTTGACTCTTATAATTGTAATATTGGACAACTCATTTCATAATTTGATCTCTTAGAAGTAGAACAAGAAAGATATTTGTACGTATATGATGTGATTATGAAATCTTTACTATGAATAAATGGTGTTTTATGATTGATATTCTGAAAGGTCAATTGGCGAATAAAAGGTTCTAACTTCAATGTGCCCATTTATGGTCCCATCATTCGAATTAAAAACGTGTGGACATGTCCACGTTCTGCACACCTGATTTCCAGTTGGTCAAAAAAAAAAAGAGTAATGTTATTTGTAGTCGCTCACTGTCGCAGTCGTCCTACGTGACAAACACATGATAGGTGATTATTTGATACATTAATGTGGTAATTTTTTTATTCATTAATGTATCAAATAACCACCTGTCATGTGTATGTCACGTAAGGCAACTGCTGTAGTGAGCGACTGCAAATAACATTATTCAAAAAATATGCCCTGCTGCGCATGGTATGAATTATCAAAATTATGATCTATTTCAAAACTACCAAAAAAGTTTGAAATTTTAAAAATCGGTTATTATTAAATTTTATTTATGAAATAATTAATTAAATATATATTTTTATTAATTAAATATATTGATGTCACAATTCTATATAATTTGATCATAAATTATCGAATTGATTATGTTATCTGTACACTCCCTCCTTACACAATAGATGACATTTGCTGTGTTTTTAAAAAGATTGGTAGAAAAAATTATTTTTTAACTATACAATTAAATGATATCATGTGATTGAGTTTAAACAATGATGTAAACACGTATGATTGTTATCTATTTAATTAAAAGTTTTATAGGCAACAAATTATTTCTCAATCACAAATCAAAAATTTTATAGATCGTAATTTATTCACCAATAACAACATAAAAAATTTTATGATCACAAATAAAAATTTTTATAAATCACAACTTACTTAACGATCACAAATTATCAAATTTATTCGTCACAAATTATTTTTCGATCATAACTTAATAAACTATGAGTCAATCACTTTTTTTATATCACATATTATTTATTTGTCACAAATTAACCAATTTATTGATCACAAACACTACTCGTCCTACTTGATTGTCACTGTCGCCGCCACTAACACCAACACCAACATCAATACCATGGTGCCATCGCCACCGCACCAACACCACCTACACCAAAGCTAAAAGTAAAATAACTGTTGATGAACCACAAAGGTAATCAAATCAGTGTAATACCACGGATCTAAAACCACCGCTATTTTCATCGTCGCGTCATCGCCACCACCAACTAAACAAATAAGAAAAGGAAGCCCAGTAATGCCTTGTGCATAGATGCAATGTGTTGCCAGAGCAAGTTTGAGCTACTGAGCAGTACAAAGAATGGAGAGAGCGGTATAGAGAGTGGTAAATAGAGCGATTGAGTGCAATTGCTAGGTGTTGCTAGAGCGCAGTTGCATTATGTGCGATATGCATGACAATGTGCCATCGAAAGGGGACAAAGAGTGGAGAGGAAGAAGAGGAGAATGGAGGGGGGGAGATGAAAATGTTTTAGGGTTTGAAATTGGGTAGGGTGAAGGTTTTGGTGTGGGGTGGGTTTGTAGATTAATTTAATGTTGTAATATTAAAAAGTTTAAATTATTACTGATTTTTTAACTCAAATCTGTTTTTTGAATTGATCATTTTAAAACTCTGAGTAGGTGTAATTTTTACATTATTAAATCCAGATAAATATTTTCTTTTATAAAATTATTCATATTGGCCCTCCTCTTGGTAGGTCTTATTTCTTTTAAATAAAATTAAAACAATACATTTTATTACTAGATTTTCTTCAAACCGTACCAGCAGCTTTTATAGTTTCCAAGAAATTTCATCTCCTTCATTTGACAATCACCAATATTGCTAAATAGCATTAATCTTCTTTTTATGAGTAGTAGACATAAAATTGTAGTACAATTTAAGCCTTTCTTTGAGCCCCATTTCAAGAAAACGAATGCATTTTGAATGATAGATTAATGGAAAAAGTATGATTAAAAATTAAGAAAAAATTATGAATTTGCGTATATTATTTTTTTATTGAAAAATGTATGATTGAAAATGAGTTTCGAAAAAATGAATTCTTAAAAGAATGGAACTCAAATAAGGGCTAAAGGGTGGTAATAAAAAGGAGAAAAATTATCTAATAACATAATACCACTTAAATTGGTGTTGTAGCACCTGTGATACTAGATAACATTATTTCAAAAAGAAAGGTTCCCGCAGCCACTTCCGCAGTAGGAGATCAGCATTGGTCCATTTGGCATCCATGAAACACACCACATGGCCAATCCTACAATGCCTGTTGGTCCTTTTCTAGATCTTGAAATGGGGCACAAATTTATTCTTTAGCTCAAATCTTTACGAGATATTGAACAAAACAAGATTTTTAACTTTTTTCTCTCTTTCTTTAATATTGTCTATTAGCTTATAGTCTTTTACAAACAAATCAGTAAGTTAATCAATCTCCCACATTTATTGATGATGCAACTGTCATCAACAATAGGACCAATGGACCACCCTACATTTTCCTTTGCCTCTCTCACAATCCATCCCTGCAACTGCATTAGACACAAATTTAACTCATGTCTGTCATCTCAATTGCCAGTGTTCCCCAGTTTATATAAATTGTTCCATCAGGACAAGAAATATTACCTTTTCTACTACTGCCCTTAATAACAATAATCCCGTTTCTAGAAAAGAAAAGCTGTGGGAAAAGCGTGTCATTTACCCCACGGCTTTGCTATATAAGAACTCCCAACAAAGACTTGCTACCTACAAAGTTTAATAAACTTCCATTCATTCAAAACTGAAAATGTCGTTTTCATCTTCAAAAAACTTCTTAAACCGGTTCTATGTGGAGGAGTTTCATACAAGTAATGAGATCCAGAGTGGTTTCTTCTCTAATGATCTCCTGCCATCACTTGGAGCTCAAATCAACCAGGCAACAAAACTCAGAAAATACATAATTTCCCAATTCAACCCGCGTTACAGGTGAATAACTAGCATCCACTCTAGAGGATACAAATTGAGAAACCACTAATTCTCATTTTCTGATCTTCATTTCAGGGCCTGGGAGATGTTTCTTGTTCTCTTGGTCATTTATTCGGCCTGGATTTCTCCATTCGAGTTTGCATTTCTGCGTTACAAGAAAGATGCCCTGTTCATCATAGACCTCATTTTTGACAGCTTTTTCGCCATTGATATTATTCTCACCTTCTTCGTGGCATATCTTGATAACCAATCTTACCTTCTAGTTGATAATCGTCGAAAAATAGCAATAAGGTAATCATAGCCATCTTTTATAGGTTCAAGATATCTTTAACGAATACAGAAGCAGAAAATTTGTTTACTGTGTTATATTCGACTAACAGGTATCTATCCACCTGGTTCATCTTTGATATCTGCTCAACAGTACCATTTCAATCTATCAGTCTCCTTTTCACAGATCACAATGGTGGATTAGGGATTCAATTTCTCAGTATGCTTCGACTTTGGCGTCTCAGAAGAGTCAGCTCCCTGTTCTCACGGTATTAAAATCTTTCATACAGTCCTGTCCTAGCTAGAGGAGAAGCATTACACAAATAACTCATGGTAACCCACGACTTGTTTTTTCTTCAGACTGGAAAAGGACATCCGTTTTAATTATTTCTGGACTCGCAGCACAAAGCTCATCTCTGTAAGCAACTGCTAGTTCTGTGTGTTACTACATGCAAAATTGCCAGTAAATTTACATGTATAAATTGCTCCCTTTCCCTTTGAATTCAGGTAACTTTGTTTGCGGTTCATTTTGCCGGGTGCTTTAACTATATGATAGCAGATAGATATCCCAATCCGACAAAAACTTGGATTGGTGCAGTTTATCCTAATTTCAAAGATATGAGCCTCTGGGACAAATATATAACTGCATTATATTGGTCCATAGTTACATTAACCACAACAGGATATGGGGATTTGCACGCTGAGAACACAAGAGAGATGCTGTTTGATATATTTTACATGCTATTCAACTTGGGATTGACAGCTTACCTCATAGGGAACATGACAAATCTTGTTGTTCACTGGACCAGCCGCACTAGAAACTTTGTAAGCGTCACCCTCCTCCATCTCCTTCACTCTCTCCCAGTAAAGAAATCCATTTAAGTACATATTTAGCATGCTGATGAGTACAATGAACAAAATTTTGGTTTGGTGTTGCAGAGAGATACCGTTAGAGCTGCTTCAGAGTTCACGAAACGAAACCATTTGCCTCCAAATATACATGGACAACTTTTGTCGCACTTATGTCTCAAATTCAAAACAGAAGGATTCAAACAGCAAGAGGCCCTCAATGGACTGCCTAAGGCCATTCGTTCCAACATTGCTCATTATCTATTTTACCCCGTTGTCCAAAATGTCCATCTTTTCCAAGGAGTTTCAAGAGACTTCCTTTTCCAACTGGTATTATTCTCTTTCTTCTTCTTCTCGCGACATATTCTCATGGAGGAACCAACAAATTGATTTAAATTGTGTATTCTTCATTCATTCTCCGAAAGGTAACTGAATTGGAAGCGGAGTATTATCCTCCTAAAGAAGATGTGATTTTTCAAAATGAGGCCCCAACAGATGCATATATACTTGTCTCGGGAGAAGTGGTAAGTAATCTAGTAGACCTCAATCAAACTAGAAAGTGTAAATCCCTAAAAAAAATCTTGCTTTTTGCCTTTTCACATACTTGATAGATAACTTTTTGGTTGTCGCAGGAGCTAGTTGCAAGGATTGATGGGCAAGACAAAGTAAGCAATTTTTTAGGCATTCTATGTCAGTAAATTTGCATATAAATAAGAAAAATGGATAGCATAGAATTTCGAGTCATTCTTATATATGCATACAGGTCCTAAGAAAGGCTGCAGCAGGGGAAATTTTTGGAGAAATAGGGGTTTTATGTGGAAAGCCTCAGCCAATTGGTGCCCGAACAACTGAACTTTCTCAAGTGCTACGGCTGAACAGGAAAGCACTACTAAACATTCTTCAAGCAAATCCTGCAGATGAACCCATTGTTATGAACAATCTTTTCCTGGTAAATTCAATGAGCTTTGTATCGCTATCCCTTCTCGTTTCCAAAACTCAAACTGAACAACCTAATTTTCATTGCAGAAACAAAATAGATGGAGAAGCATAGACATCGAGGGTTACTACCATGATCCAATTTTGATCCAAAGTAATTGGCTTGGTCAATCTAAAGGCAAATATGACCCAGTATCGAGTTATGAAAATAAATGGAATTTAGACAAATACAAAACAGAGTTATTTGGGACAGAAATGGGTGAAAAAACCAGGATTAGTCAGCACACAGAAATTGGGGCCACTACTGATGCCAACGGTCATCATCTCAAACAAACATATATCAGCTCAAGCATTTTTAGGTATCCAAATAGTGCAGACGCATTAAAATCAGAAAAGAAGAGAGTCACCATTCACATGAAGTTTCAAAAGCACAAAATTTCACAAAAGCAGTTTGGGAAGCTAATAATTCTACCTGATTCACTAGAAATGCTATTTAAAATAGCAGGTAAGCCTCCTTTGAGCCCTAGACACATTCAAAACAAATAACAATTTACGGGCAACCATAGATTTAGCCCTTGTTTGATAAAACCTTTTGAGATTTTAAGCTGGCGAGCCGATGTGTGGTTAAAAAGTGAATAAAGTTCTGGGTCCAATGAAATGTATGGTTTAAATGAAATTAGATCAGCTTAAAATCTGGAAAAAGTTTTATCAACAAGGGCTCAATGACAAAAAAATGATAACTGAGGAAAAATCTCGAACTTCAAATACACTACTTTACAGATATTAATTTTTCACGGCAATTTATCTCATTCTCCTGCGTACCTTGTGAAATTGCAGGTCAAAAGTTTGGGGAGTACAATGTTACAAAAGTTGTAAATACAGAGAGTGCAGAAATCGATGACATAAGTGTTATACGTGATGGGGATCATTTGTTTCTGCTGCCGAGCTAGTATTGGCATAGAATGCGATGGACCTAGCAATTATCAAAGGCTACGAGATAGGCATTCAGAGAGCTAGGCACTTCGAACAAATTGTATATGGCTATATTCTAACAAAATTTATACACATTATGGTGCATTTTTTTATGTGGGCAACCTCAACTATCTTCCTCACACATCGAGTTTTGCGGGAGACCAAACACGTCTCACCCTCACACAACGAGGCCTGCCGGAGATCAAACCCGTCTTCCCCTCACACAAATCCATATTTCCATGACTGTTGGGCTAGAGACTTGTTGATAAACCGGGCTCTAATACCAGTGTTGGGTGGTATTGTACCTTCTCAATTCCAAAAACTAGCTCAAGAGATGAGGATTTCCCTCACACAACTGAATACCAACTCTATACACAACCGATGTGGGATAACCTCAACACACATTGTATATAGAACAATAGGTGTTTTCTAGAGCATGTAGTCTCATATAGTCTCAAGTTGTAGGTGATCTACCATCCTATGAGAATGGTTTTATAATTGTCATGATTGATTCTGGGCAAATTATGCTGGAAGCTTGGGGATTTGATGACTGATTTATTCAGGTAAAAAATTGATAGAAGGATTTTCAATCCATAGGGTTTACAATTAGCAATGAAATTAATTTAAATGAAGGAACATTATTCCTATATTGAATTAGATTACAAACGGATCAAACATTTCAATTTTTTCTTTTCTCTAGTTATGATATTAGCAAACCAAAAACACTATAAGTCTCTCATTTTACCAGAGAGTTGGGCATAAATCACAGAAATGATCTTTTACATCCATTGGTTTAATTTATGAAAAACACTAACGCTATTCGATTACAATTCTGTTTTATGACCAAACTAAGTCATATTAAGAATAGCAAAGAAAAGTGAAGGAGGTAGATATGTTATTCTGAATTCTTGGATTCTATTGGAATCAATATTCTCTTCTAAAAGTCAACTTGAAAGAGATTTGATTCCCCTAATTAACGAATGTTTCAATCTGAGAATGGTTTTTGTTATAATTTCAAAACTACCTTTACATTTGCTTCTTTAATATTTTCCATTTCCAAGCACAAAGGAGCAAAACATTCTTCAGGGAAAGAAACCCAGTTTATATTCAATTCATTCAGTATAAAATGTACAAGTTAATCGATATCACCAAGACAATTGTCGAATGCAAGAGCGTAATTACAGCCATTAAATTTTAGCTTAAACCTTGAGCAAATACTAAATATTCAAAATGGGGACACAAAATCCAATCTTAATAATCAATTGCTTATTATTAAATTCTGCGAGAAATCATCGAAATTATTCCATAAAATACATCTTTTTTTCGAAAATCAAAATAACACTTACAATTTTCAATTCTTATCCTCTTCTTCCTTAAATGCTGACACTGGAATCGACCTGGGTATCCCGGCAGGGTGCCGAACACAATATTCCCGGAACTTGGATGCTGAATGCTAAATCCATATAAGGAGCTCCTTGTTCTTGACACCTATCAACGGCATCACCCGCCGGTCATCTACAAAAGCTGTGAGCTCTTCATCAATCATCATAAGATAAACCTCACCCGATTGCATGAAAACGGAGAACGTTGCTCTTCTGCTTCTTCAGCCACACGAATCCCGTAGCCTCATTTTTACCCCACCTCAACGATGTCGTCTAAGAGAAGCAGGCCCTTCGGGAGGTTAATATTCTCGAGAAGTTCGATGGATTTTTGTTTGCAGATGGCTTCTCCGGTTTAAATTTTGGCTTTTCTCTGTGTGGGGTGCGATTTGATGGGACGACATTTTGACGGAAATGGAAATCGGATTCTTTTGCGAACGCCGTGGACGTGCGACCAAATAGGAGAAATAGCAACGGCTACACTAGGCAGCGTTTAGGATATTACGACTACAAAATTTAATTACTACAGCATATTATAATTACACCACAATAAATTTACAATTATACTTCTAATGCAATAAAAACTAAAATAAAAAATAAAAATACAATAATATTGTAGTGAATTTATCATTCTAACATTATTTCTCAATTTTCTCATCCTCTTCATCTCATTCTGGAAATTTTTGGCACAGTGACAAAAGTCAATTAGAAAGGCATCGAAATTGGCTCCAAATATTTTGTCAATATTTTATTTTTTATTTTTTATTTTTTAAATCAAAAGGGACTGGATATGCTTGGTAAAAACGAAAAGTAATCGAATACAATTTTCGAGACGATGTTTTCTCTTCTAGTTTGGTTCATCATCAACACAATTTCGATATGACATTGCAAACCTCAATTCAAAGAGAATACTTTCGTTTCATGCTAATAAGTGTTGGTAAAAAAACGTTGGCCAACAAAGGCATGTAGACCGAATGCTGCTAACAGTTGAAGTCCCTATTAAAATGTTCATCACCTCAATCTGCAGTTGAATGGCTTCCAAAGGAGAAGCTCCTCCCATTATAAGCCCACTCAAGGCACCATGAAGCGATACTAGGCCTAAAGTCTTGGCATATCCATGACCGGAGAAAGCGCATTGACCAATGCCCTCTTCACCTCATGTAGAGTTGCTTGACGAGGAGTAGCCCCAATATTTTGTCAAGTTTACGTAGTTCACTCTAATTTCTCCCTCACCCTAAAACTCTCCGGTCTTCTTGACAAACAATGAAGGACAATTCTGTCCATGGATCAACAATTGAGCGCTTTTGGGTGGGGGCTGGAGGAGGGATTGGGGAAGAAGATAAATTTTTAAAAGTTTTATAATTGTGGTGGAAGAATAAATTATTTTATGTGATAAATATATTAAATAAAGGAAGAATTTTTTTTTTTTTTTTTTTTTAAAGGAGAGCGGTACCTCCGAGATTTTATTAATTTGCCCTCACTTATGACGGAGGAATACCGTGATTACATGCGGAAAAATGAAAGCAGTAAATTAGGAAGACTATTTTCCTTACATTAATTGAAAATACTTTAAAAAATGTGTTAAACAGTACAATAGAAAGTACTACTTCCCTTACAATAAGATTTGATGCAATTGAAGACAAAAAGCAAAAACAACTAAAATTAAAAATTAAAATAGAATTACAATTCATATTTTGAAGTTGGACAGTCCATGTTTATCAATTTGCGTGAGTGCTCGAATATGACGTGGTAGGTCAGCTGATCCATATGTTTGATATCACAGTGATTCCAACCTGCTACGACAAGAGCGTCTACAATCGAAAGAATAAATTATTTTATGTGATAAATATATTAAAAACCCACTTATGTAATTTTATTTAAAGTTATTTGAGTAAATAAAAAAATTGTGGTGTAACTAACAATTTTTGTAGTGGTAATGTAATTACCCCAGCGTTTAACATCATTAAAAGACAAAAATACCTTTCACTTCAAAATTAAGCTCTTGTTTGAGCCTCATTCTTTTCATAAGAATGAATTTTTGAATAGTGTAATTGATGAGAGATGTGTGGTTAGGAAATAAGGAAAGATTTTGAATTTACATGTAATATTATTTTATTAAAAATGTGTTGTTAAAATGATGTCAAAATACTATTTAATATTGTATTTTTTTTTAAAGAATGAGACTCAAACATGGGCTAAAAAGAGAGATTTCTCTACCCGACCCGGACTCCCTCGTCCATGTTATCAAATAACAGATCTGCTATGATTTCTTCACGGATTTGAATATCTTTAACACAATAAAAGGATTTTTTTTCTTATTCAAATCTTAGAATATTAAAGCTAAAAACACATCATCCATCAACATTATAAGCAAAACATTTTGAATTTAACAAAATAAAGTGAAGAAACCTTGAATATGGAGATGAAAATGGATGAAAAAATCTTGAAGAATGATAATGGTGATGGTGATGAAGAGGATGAAGAAACCTTGCAGAATAGGAAATCATAGGGGAGATTTTCAAATTTGTACATTCTTCAAATTCTCAACGTTCAAAATGGAGATAAAATAAATATTGTGATTTCTTTAAATTTTTTACTTCTTTTCTTTTTTTTTTTTTTTTTTTTTTTTTTTTTTTTTTTTTTTTTTANTTTTTTTTTAATTTTTTTTTTTTTTTTTTTTTTTTTTTTTTTTTTTTTTTTTTTTTTACTTAATTTGATCGAAGACTATTGTGGAAAAGTGGCCTTGTCAACCGACCATTTACCACCATTTGCACAATTAGGGTGTGTTTGATTGCACACATTTTCCATGAAAAATGGGTTTTTTCCACCTTATTTCCTACTTTTGTCTTGTTTGATTGACAGTTTTTTCTAAGGAAAATTTTTTCCTTCTTTTGGTTACGTGACCACATTTTCCTTGAAAATAAGGAAAATATTTTCCTTGGGGGAAGGTGGGTTTTATTTTCCATGGAATTTAACCTTTCCAAAAATTTTAGGTAACCAACCACGTTAATATATATCTCTCTCTCTCTCTCATCTCTATGTTAATATCTCTCTCTCTCATCTCTACCCACTTACAAATCACTACCCTCTCTCTCATCAATTCAACCGAGCCAGGAGGACGAACTCGACGACTCTTTGCTTCCATATCTACCTCCGGCGAAATCACTACAAAAGGTTGGCAAAATATTAACCCTTAAACCCCAGTTCTAAGTGATTTTCTCGTGTAACTCCAGAAATATAATTTTAAGTATATATGTTTGTAAGTTTTGTGAAAAAAAAAGTTGTGGACAGTGACCGCTTCTTGTAATTGTTTAAATTTCTACATACATGCTAAGATTAGTTTTTTCGTTCACGAGGTAGCTGATAAATAATTTTTCATCATATTAGTGGTTTGGGTTTTTCAGTTTCTTTTTCCTTTTTCTTTTTGTTGTGTGTGTGTGTTACGAGATTTCCTTAGTCCAGCAGTCTTCAGAATGAAGGATAAGGAAAGTAAGAAAGTCAAACCAGAAAAATGGTTGCGAGTTAGTACATGGAGTTTTTTACTACGTTAGCTGCTAGAAATTCTTTTTTTTTCTAACCTTAAAAACACTGAATTTTTACGGAAAAGGTAAGAAATACAACATAAGTCGTAGGGATTTTCATTTTTCCCGTGTCAGTGGGTATTTTCATTTGATGAACTTTCCAACTGATGTCCACACACGAGTTGCTAAAAAATGCAAATGGGCATGCATTATGACTTATGAGATGTTGATGTTGTTAAAGGAATAAAGAGATAAAACAAATAATGGATTTGGACTAATCCTCCTTTTAAGAAGGAAGCCAAGACTATAGAAGTACCACAGCATCAATATGTTGGAATGCTGTTTTTGTTCAGAACACAAAAGACACTATAAGGATTTGTCTATTACTATGAGAATGAATTCAAATTAAACCAGTCTAATTCAAATGGCATACAAGAGTGTGTTGTTTAGTTAATGCACCTTTATGAAACCGATCTTATTCTACCCTCCTATTGCAGAGTGGATTGACCCTCAACTCTGATGGGATCTTGGGGCCTCCGACTTCAGACTTGCCTGCAGAAGTTTTAGATTTAAGTGATATCCCCCCAACTGCAGAATGATTCAAGAAGTTGCTCCTGCTTTCATTGTTTATCTTACTAGGATTGTAATCAAATGTTTTTAGCCTTTGAGCTCCGTAGATTACAGCCTCAGTCTTGTCATAAACACCTTGATCCCACATTATTAATTTTCCTTCATGTCTGCATTTCACGTTCGTCTTCTGTTAAAATTAGTAGCACTGGAATGCTTAATGCAATCGAGTGCTTTTGGCAATGAGATAGGAGAAAATACTACTCCTAACAAAATCTACCACAAGAATGGTTAATCAACAAGAACTTGTCACAAGTTAGATTACGAAAATTTCTACAATTTTTGGCTAGATTTAGCTGCATCGACACTATATATGTAGTCTTGTTTTGAGATAGCGATCCATATTCTGTTTGGGGCTCAAGCTTGGCAACATAGGCTGTCTACAAAACTGGATAGAATTAGGATGTGAGCCGAATTCTATTTGAAAGACTAGTTGAGAATTCTAGTTGAAGTCTATTTGTTGGAGACAGTTATTTTATTGCTTAGAGTTTACTGTACCTACTATTAATCTCTGATTAGAGAGATAGTTGAAGATTTCGAAGTACCTTAACAATTTATGTCCTTGGGTCTATGTTCTTGATTCTATTAATTGGAGGATTACTGTGGTGCGAATGAATTAGGGAAGCATGAAATTGAAAAAAATGACTTTAAGAATTCTAATATAACCAGTTGACATTATGCTTGGAAGGTCATGCAATAAATTTCTATTATGATGTAGCTACAGTTAACTTTTTATTCTGTAATACTTTTATGTTATTCTTTCTAAACAAATTTTTATTGAATTTTTATTTACCGTGGTAGTTTATAACATGGCTACAACAACGAATCAACGTCGATGCCGATGACAACATTTAGGTATATTTTGGACGATGGTCATGCAAGCGATTGTGATATATAACGAACTTAGCCATCGTGCACGACATCTTGCAAGAGCTCCTCATACAAATTGGAATTCTGAAAGAGAAATAACACTTACACGAATGTTTGGCACGAGTGATACAATATGTTGTGATCTCCTTAGGATGAAAATAGGTCCATTTCAAAGATTATGTGCTCGTTTGCGAACTTACGGATTGGTTGACAGTAAATACGTTCGAATTGAGGAACAACTCGCAATTTTTCTGAATACAGTCGGGCATGACCAACCTAATCGCGCTGGACATTTTACTTTCTTTCGCTCTGGTCAAACAGTGAGCTTTTACTTTCACAGAGTCTTACACGCTTGTCTTGGACTGTATAGAGATGTTGTGATTAATGCCACTCTTCATAACTTACCATACGAAAAAGAAAATGTGCAGCCATGGCACTCCTTTTTTCAGGTTAGTGGTTTGTAGTTATTTCATCACATTTCTTAAAACTTCAATATTCACATTTAGTTTGAAAAGTATTGTTTTTTAAAGGATGCCGTAGGAGCAATCGATGGTACACATATAGCTGCGTATGTGCCTTTAGAGGAGCAAGGTAAATATCGTAATAGAAAGCAAGTGATTTCCCAAAATGTTTTAGTAGCTTGCACATTTGATATGAAATTTATGTACGTGCTTGCCGGTTGGGAGGGATCTGCACATAATGGTCGATTGTTACGGAGTGCAATATTACGCCAAGGACATAAGCTAACAATTTCTGTTGGTAAGTTGTGTCACTATTTTGAAAACATTTCTTCCACACATAAGTTATAATAATTACCTAACTACCATCTTATGAACGACTCTTGCCTAGGTAAATATTACCTTGTTGACGCTGGCGTCCCACCGGTTTCGGGTTTTCTTGCACCATATCGTAGGACTCGTTATCATCGTAGAGACATTGAAGGTCAACGTCCTGAAAGTAGTAAGGAGTTGTTCAATTTTCGACATTCATCTCTACATAATGTTATTGAGCGTACAATTGGTTTGTTGAAAAAAAGATTTGCATAATTGAGACATCAACCCTATCACGACATTGACACACAAGCAAAGATAGTCCTTGCCTGTTCTGCCATCCACAACTTCTTAAGGATTGATGACGTTGAAGATGCTTGTGAGGAGGACGACTTAGATAGTAGTGATGATGAGGTTAACCTTACGCATATTGATGTACCTGAAGATGAAACTCCAAATGCTCACATATCTTTCACAAATCAGGAAGTGTGGTCTAATAAGAGGAATGCGATTGCTGATTTAATGTGGGCTGATTATCTTTCCAATCAGAATGCGGGAATTGATTTCGATTGAAATCTGATTTTTTTTTCTTTTTATTCTTGTTTTTTATTTTTTATTTGTTTTTCGTTTCTATGTAATGGATATAAATTTACTAGACTTTCATATGTAGTAATTGCTTGAATTGAAGACGTATTGACATTAATAAGATTTTTTGTTTTTTTTCCCCATGTCCTATAATAGTTGACATAAGATTGCTAAAATTTTAAATATTGTAATTTGAATTGCTGTTATTGGAGACATTGTTGACATGCAATTTTCTTAAATGTTCTTATTTATCGGTTGACCATAAACAGTTAATCTTGCACTATACATGGCAAATATTCGACAAAGCTCTGCGGCACCTTTTTGAGTTCCTAGACTAACCCTTCTTTCAGATGTGGAGGAAATAAGCTCAACCCAAGCGGATCCTAATTCTAGGAATCGTCAAATATGTTGGAGTGATGCAATGGACAATTGTATGATAACCGCACTACTACATCAAGTGTTGTCTAGTCACAAAAGAAGTGACAATGGCTTTTCATCATATCACGTGTCCAAAGCAATCGAGAATGTGCACAATGGATGCGGAGTCATGGTGTCTGATAAGAATGTGAGGGCGCGATTGAAAACTCTAAAAAAAGAATATGTTGAAGTTCGTCAGTTGTTAAGCATGAGTGGTTTTGGGTTAGATCCTCACACTGGACGTGTCACAGCCGATGTACTAGCTTGGGAGGAGTTGTTGAAGGTACAAAATTTCATTAACCAATGAAAGTATTATTCCTTAAATATTACTAATCTAATTTATTTTGCCCACTAACTAGCGTAAAACATATTTCACTCTTTTTCTTGTAGGGCAAACCAGAATTTGGAAAGTGGAGGACCAAACTTTGTTCTCGTTATGATGATTTGGAGGCTATCTTTGGAAATGATTCTGCTACAGGAGATCGTGCTGTAACCGGTAATGACATTTTATCCCCCGATCATGGTACGTACTAGATCGTACATAAAAATTTATATAATTCGTATTATATTAGAGATTCTAACAAATTCTTATTTTATTATTTTTTTAGATGAAAATGTGCATGAAGTTGATGGTCAAAATGAGGATATGGATCCAAGTCCCATTCGCGCTCCTAAGCGTAATGCCAAAGGAGGAACTAACAAAGTTCGCTGTCGATGTACCCAACCTAATGATGAGAGTCTCGTTGCCCTATCAAGCATTGCCGAATCATCTAAAAAAATTGCTATTGCTATGGAGACTCAAGTAACATTAGATACGTTAAACCACATCAATTGGCAGTTGGTTCTAGAAAAATTACAAGGCATGAGTATAGAAAAGCGTGACATAATGCAAGTAATGAAAATATTTCGATCGAATGAGAGTCTGGCTAGAGTATTTATGAGTTTGACTGATGAAGAATTCATGCGTGATTTAGTATTTGAGAATCTGGGCCGTGATCCGCCTCCACTATTTTAAGATGACTTGCTTGGATAATTTAACAAACATATGTGAAAGTATGACACTTATGTTGATTTTATTTGCTATTTTCTTATGATACAGATTTTTCGGGTTTTTTCATTTTCGTTTTATGTAATACATTGAACGAAATTTCATCATTATTTATTGAATTGATTATCTGATTATTATTTTTGACTGCAAAGAAGAATATGTAAGTGGTAGAAATCTGAATTGTTAGGGATAATTTTATGCATCTTTCGTACCGAATCTTGGTATATTTTTATCCACAAATTAACTGCTATATTAATTATGATTGATTAGGATTTGGCTGCATTTATGTCTACAATTTATTTAAATTTTAGATCATTCATTGACAATTTTTTATGGGAAAAAACCACTATTTTCCATGGAAAAAGTGACAATTTCCATGGAAAATAGTGGCTGTCAAACAAAGCTTGCTTTAATTATTTTAAATAAACTATGAAATTTTCGTACTTGACTGTTTACGACTTTTGTGAATTTCGCAAAATTATGATATCCTTTAAGTTTAATTCATATTATTAATTTTTTTTTTATCTAATTTGATGCATTTATTTCTTAAATGAATATTAAATGCTAGAAATCATGAGTTCAGAATTTTCTAAACTTGGGGTGTTTCATGTTCATTGGTGGATATGTATTTTTGCTTAATTTTATCATGATTTGGTTAGTTTATATATTTAAGGTAAGCATTGATTTTCTATTTGGTAAAAGTAATAAATAATAAATAAATTAGTAGAATATCTTAATGTGAGACATCTAAACATTTTTTTAAAATTTTTTTATTGAGTGTCGTATACTTTTTATCGTGAATGTCACGAACATAGCCTCCGAAACTCGATTTCTTGTGGTGTAAGTTCATTCAAATTTTTTAAAATTTCAGTCCATTCTAACATCATTTTCTGACTCCGCTCCTGGACACATGCTTTATGGGGATCATTAGAATATCCACATCGTTGCTCCATTTTTCTATTTACTTATTTATCTTTTAAATATAATTATATTTAACATCGTAAGAAAAATAAAAAATAAGAGTTTGGGTGGAGGCAAGATATTTTGCTATCCTAAAGGGACAAAATGGAAGAAATGGAATGCTCGAAGTAGATTGTACTAAGTCAATATTATTTGTTAAATTTAGGACAAAATGGAAGAAATGGAATGCTCGAAGTAGATTGTACTAAGTCAATATTATTTGTTAAAAGATGTAGACAACACAAAATCTTAAGAGCATTTCTAATGAGCTATATTCATTAGCCTCATTTCTATTTTAGAGAACCAAACTTCTTTTCAAAGTGTCCAATTAATTCCTTATCCTCAAAAGTTAAAATAAAGATAGTATTTGACCCTCTAAATGCGAATCGAATTCATTCTTTACACAATGCTTATTTATTATTGCCCACATTTATTATTGTTATTTTTTAAAATTTCTACAAAAAGAAAAAAAAAATCATCAATTCCTACGTTAAACCGTTTATAAAGAAAATAAAAATAGAGGGAAATGATAAAATGCAAAAGAGGAAAAATGATAAATAATAATTACTTATGCAGAAAATAAAATAATAATAATAATGAATGGATATAAAGAGTGCTATTGGAGTTGTGAAAAAAAAAAATAAAAAAATTGACTCTTCATTTTAAAAAATTCCTTTAGATATTCTTTATATGGTAGATGATGCTCTATAAAAAGAAAAGTACTATTGGAGGTGCTCTAACATAGCTCTTATTGAGGATTCATGCTACTTACTTTCAAGGCTCAACATCTAAATACTGCACATATTAAGGAACAATTGCATACAATCACCTTACAAACCTTTGTGAAAGTTAAGATAAAAATCATGTTATTTTGAAAAATTCACATGTCTCTATTAATTCTCTTCTATTAGAAGACTTAATAAGGCCTTCACTAAGACTCGTTCATTGTTCCTCCTATATACCTACTAAAAACGGGGTCGTTAAATAATGAGACAATACTTTAGAGCTATAGTGCCATTTTTTTTTTGAATTATAGTAAATGATTTCTAAAATTTTTAAAACTAGCTAAACATGTCCTAAAAATTGAAGAAATGAAAGTACAGAATAAAGTTATATTTGGAATCGGGTATAAATTGTTGACCTCGAAATACGAGGGTGTCAGATGGCTGGATCACAGTTCCTCTCTCGTCCATGTATACATTACTTGTACCATTGGACAATTACGTTAGATTGCTCTTTGTCATAGCTCCGATGTGGTAAGATTATCTCGGGCACCTCAATGCTCAAGTCAAATGATGAAGATTTATAAATATTTGGGTGTGGGAAAGATACAATGGATGAGAATATAGGTGTCAATTTTGAAAATAGATTATCGGATTTGCAATGTGTGAATATCATGCTCAGTATTTTGTTGGAATAGTCTTACCTTTAGGAGACATCAAGTGCGAGCTATCATAGGCCCACCCTGATTCAAGTTGGAAAGTAGCCACTGTATGTCATAAAAGTAACCAAAAAGTTGATAGAGTGTATTTGTTGTTGTCTACCAAATTTGTTAGATATACAAAGTATCTCTTTATGATGTATATTTTGACCAAGGTGATATTGATAAAAGATGTCATTTATAAGAGATGTCACTACTTGGAAAATGCGTTATAGGCTAAGGTGGCACGTCATCTCAAAAATACCACTTCAAAGTGAATGATATCACCTCAAAAGAGGGGGCTAACCATTTCAGAGAAGGTGCCCACTGCCCAACCACATTGTCCCATACCCAACCACATCAAATAAATACAAGGGAGTGAAGTCAAGGGGAGTGTCGATCTTGTGTAGCCTCTTGCTTTATCTTTGCTTAACCGGTTGTCATATGACATGCTTTGTAGTATGAGATGTGACACTAATCTCTGAAGTGCATTTAATTAATTTAAAATTGGAAAATATAAAATTTCAACTAAAGCAATGTCATCCACGGGCGGTTTTCTTTATTTAAATTTTCCAATAACAGTTTAATCCCAAATTTAGATTCCACTAATCCACTTGCACTTAAGAAATTTTGAGAAATGAAAAGACTCATCCTAAAACGACAAGGCCAAAATCTTAGCATTTTTTTTTTTTTCAGGTCAACACCACTATTTTGATTTTGATTGAGCCAAGTATCGCCACGAGGTACACCAAATAAATATTTTTCTTCTTTTTGAATATTTTTTGTTTCTTAAAGTTATATTTTGTTTTCACAAACACAGAAGCTGAGTTCAAAACTTTTTTACACTCATTGAAGAGTCCATGTTCAACATAAACTCAAGTTCTTATAAAGGCCATCAATAAGATAGAACAATTTTTTTTGCTCTGCAGTTGTGGGTTCAAATTGCTTGTAAAATCATGTGAAATCACATGCTTTGTACCGGCGATGTAATATGGAATACTTACATTTTACTTACCAATGTCTATTTCTAATGGCTATTTTTGTACCTTCCTCAACCACTCCAAACATGAACATTTATGTCACCTACAATGTAGGTGAATAATAGTACCAATTTATGTCACATGCAATGTAGGTGAGCAATAG